TTAAGGACAGAGAATACCTAATAAAAGCTTGAGAGAAAAAAAAAATATGTGGTGTTAGCTTTAAGGAGTAGGAATGACCTATCTTACCAGGGAACCTTGAGAATATGGGTGAGATAGGGCAACCTTCCCCCCCCCCCCCTTTTTAAATCAGTACTTTCATGAGCTGGAACTTAATGACGAGTAGGAATTGAATCTGAAATTTTAAAATGTACTCACTATTTCATTCAAAATAGTCCAATATGAGTGATAGAAATGCTGTTTTCCATACAGAAAAGAATGGTGCATATTTGCTTTTACTTACATGCTAATGTGAATTCTGTGAGTCAGTCACTTTAAAGAATAGCTGATAAGCATTTGTATTTTGTTTCCCAATACTGAAGCATTAGTTCTTTTTTAGTATGTCTCAAAGGAGAGGTACTACTAACAGTGTCACTAAAAAGGCCTGTCTGTGCATGCTCCTTGAATAGCAACTTTTTTTTTTTTAGAAAATGTATACTTTATTTGATAGGTTTGAACATATTCTTCTTTTTTTTTTTTTAAATTTTTATTCATTCATTGTTACACACTTTCCTCCCTGTCCCTCATTCTACCCCAGCTTACCTTCCTCTGGTGGTGGTGGTGAGTTCCCTCATTGTTATACAATCATCCCCCCCACCACCGCTTTACTAGACAACTCTGACTCTGGACTCTTGCCATGCCAATAATACCTATTCACATGTTCCTTTTTTACAGTGGCCTTGTACATTATTTATCCTCTCTTTTCTTAGCTTTCTCCCCAACCCCCATATCAGACCTGTTCTACAACAGTGGCATTATACAGTATTGTCTTTTTGTGACTGAGATATTTCATTCAACATAATGTCCTCCATGGTTACCCATTTTGTGTAATATTTCATGAGTTCTTTGTTTTTCAGTGTTGCACAGTACTCCATTGTGTGAATATATCACAGCTTCTCTATCCATTCATTTGTTGATGGACATTTAGGCTGTTTTCAACTCTTTGCTATTGTGAACAAAGCAGCAATAGATATGGGTGTGCGCATATCTACTTGGATGGCAGTTCTGTTTTTTTTATGGAGTATTACCAGTAGTGGAATTACTGGATCAAACAGTATCTCTCTTTCCAACTCTTTGAGAAAGCATCATATTGCCTTCCACAGTGGCTGCACCATTCCACATTTCCCACTGACTGAACAAGGGTTCCAGTCTCTCCACATCCTCGCCAACATCTGTTGCTTGCTGCTCTATTAAATTCTGCCACCCCCACTGGGGTGAGATGACATCCCATAGTTGTTTTGAATATCAGCTATTTTAATCCTACTTCTGAATATTGATTAAACTATAGGAACAGATAAAGTAATATATGTAAATATCTTGGTTTTGTAAAATGTAATTATCTGGAATTTCTGTATTGAATTTTATTTTAACTAACATTTTTGTTTGGTACAATTGTGAAATATTTAGTAAGAGGTCATTCTTAACTAAGCATTAGCCATTCATTTTTCAGCAGTACTTGTCAGATCTAGTTCTAGGTCCTGAGAATACAAGGATCAGCTATGAAGTAGTTATTTTAGTGAGTAAGATAAAAAAGTAACAGTAATGTGTTAAAGTGATAAGTACTGAAGAAACAACACAGTAAGAGTGTGATAGGCTAGGGCTATTTAGGAAAAATTAAGTCAAGGAAGACTTCTCTGAAGGAAGCAGAAACCTCAGTGAAGGGGAAAATCTTGCACAATTTTTCCAGGTAGAGGGAGCAATAAATGCAAAAGCCTTGTATCAGGATCCAGGTCATTGAAAACCAGTTTGGCAGTTCAAGGAAAAAGAAAGAATGTTGTAGTCCAATATGAGCAGAAAGGACAAATAAGAACATAGGGAGATGAGGAAGTAGGAGTTGGGGACCAGAACATACTGAATTTTATTGACCTCAAATTTTATTTAAGTATAGTTGGAGGATGTTTAGACAGAGCTGTAACATCATCTGATACACATTTTGCAAATTCATTCTGGCTGCTGACTAGAACTGACTGTGGTAAAGGCAGGGTCTATGCATTGGACTATTTAGGGAGCTTTAGCAGTTACCTAAACCTCTGATTTTCATTACACTCATGGTGATCTGTTACAGTTCAAGAAGAAAACATGACCACTTCTATCAGTGTTTATGTTTTTATCTTAAAATGAAAAGAAAAAATAAACCATGTTGATAAAGGAATTGTGCTGCTAACCCAGACATTGCCTTTCTGATAGTTTGAATTCACCTTGACTCTACAGGAGAAAGATCAGTCTCCTCCTATGGAATTTACAGTCTCCCAAAACCCGGTTGAGCTCCATTTCAATTCAATAATAGTGATTGGCACATTTCATCTGTGTATTAGTAACATGTTACCATTTTTGGCCTCAGCAAATGGTTACTATCTACCAAGATGAGAGGACTGAGGGAGGAGCAGGCTTGTTTTAGGATGAGGGTGGAGTAATTCACTTTTGGACATGCCATGTTTGAGTTGCCTGCCAAAAATGTAATGAGATATATCAGGCTGGTGGTTTAGATATATGCATCTGAAGCCAAGATTGTAGCTCTAAATTTGGAAATCATCAACTTTGGAATCAAATTGTGGGAATGCAGATTTCAGTTCTGCCACTTACTGTGTAATTATGGGCAAGTTACTTGACATGCATCTACTTCAGTTACATCATCTGTAGAATGGGGATAGTAATACCTACTCAACAAGATAATTAAGAGGATTAAGTGATTGAATATAAGCAGAGTACTTAAAATAGTGTCTAGCACATAGTAAGAATTTACTAAATGTTACGACTCTTAACAGCTTATGAATGATGTGAATAAGATTATATTGAGTATAGATAGTGGGGGCGGTGGAGAATGCCAAGGACAGAACCTTGAAATAATACAACCTTTAAAAGTTAGAAATAAGAATAGGAGACTGAGAGGGAATAAAGTCATATGATGAGGGTGTGGTATCTAGAAGCCTGCCTAGTAAAAAAACTATTTCGAAGAGATGTCATCAACTTGTACAAATGCTACTGGAGGGGCTTGACCTAATGAGAAGAGAGAGATGATATTTAAGTATTATGGAGTAATTGTAGCAACTTGTAGTTGCAAACTCTTGAATAGGTATAAAGTGTATCCCTGCATAAGCAGAGGGATTGTCTTTAGACTTTGACAAACAGTTCATCAACTAAAAATAACCCAGTGGTTGATGTAGATGAAGACAGATGTGTAGATTAGGTTATGGTAAACTTGAGCCTTTTTTTCTGATTCCTTTCATATTCTAGATAGGCAAGATCTATCATTGGCTGATAGGTGTAGGGAGGACTTTATAAGATTTAATAATAGAGAAGAAGCTGTGTGAAATGGGCATCTTAGATGGCAAGAGAATGAGTTTGACTAGGCAAGTATAGTTGGATCGTTAGCATTTAGAAGACTCATTTTACAATTGTAGTTAGTAGTTTAAAAGTAATTCCAACTGACTTGAAGGAAATGAGAGATTCTTTTTTTTAAATAATATTTTAATTTATTTCTTTTTCATTTCGATGAACATCTACAGAGATTTTGGAATTCCATTCATTCATTGTTGCACCCTTCTCCCCCCCCCCCCGCGGTTTGCTCCTCTCCCTGAAAAGCAAAAGAAAAACTCCCTCATTGGTACACAATCCCCCCCACACCTCCCCCAATCCCACCGCCAACACCAAATATAATCCACTCTGCAACCCTCATTGCGTACTCCTACGATAAACATAATGCCCTAAAATATAATACTTTCATTAAACTATTCTCTCCCCCATAGACTTCAATGCTGTAAACGTATTTCATGCAGTTTTTTTCAGCCTTACCCCCACCCTGATGCCAGCCTCATTCTACAACAGTGGCACCATATAGCATTTGTCCCTTTGTGACTGAGATACCTCACTCAGCATAATGTCCTCCAGGGTCACCCATTTTGAATAATATTGCGTGAGTTCCTTGTTTTTCAGTGCAGCATAGGATTCCATTGTGCGAATATACCACAGCTTCTCTACCCATTTGTTTGTTGATGGGCATTTAGGTTGTTTCCAACTCCTTGCTAGGAAATGAGATTCTTAGGGAGTATATACCAAAAATGTGGTGAGGACAAATACCTTCTCTGCTTCTATTTAGTCCCATGTTCAGGATGTCACAAGGACTTAATAACCCTCCAAAAAAATTCCATCCTCTCATATTTACTTAAGTTCAAACTGTAGCATGGTGTCTATAACATGATAACTTCATGTAGACAGTGAGCTCCTGGGGGTGTTGCCATCTTTTCTTGAATCTTGTTTCTTTGTATCACAAGTGTTTATAAGCAGAGCCTAGGTCAGTTTAATGGATTATATTTCATATTTGATTTCTAAGTAATGTGAAAACCTTCCTGGTGGCACAGTTTAAATGTCAGCTACTCACGAAGATGTCAGCAGTTTGAACCCACTACACTCTGTGGTGGAAAGGTGTAGTAGTCTGCCACAACCAAAGATTTACAGTCTTGGAAACCCTTTCGGGCAGTTCTCTGTCTTACAGGGGCTTTATGAGTTGGAATCATCTTGATGAAATGAGTTTAGTTTTATATAAAGAGAGTGAAGTGCCCTAATGGAGAGGCTCATAGTTTTGCTAATAGGCATGAAAGTTTCACTACAATTTTCACTTGGATCTGTAGCTCCAATTAAGGTGGAATTATCACTCATATTGAGGGAATTTGGGTGGTGTCATCAGTCTGTAGGGAATTGTGCCACTACAAAGGCGGAATCTCTGGTGGTTCAAATCCACAGCCAGAAATCCAGGAGAAAGATAGGCAGTCTTCTCCTGTGTAATGTACTGCTGCCTCAAAACCCACTGGAGGGTCACCTGTGAGTTGGTTCTGACTGAACAGCGAAGAGCTTTTAATTTTTTACATATTCCTCATATTTATTTCTTATATCTCTCTGATTACATATAAATTCATTCCTTTTTTTCCTCTCACCCCCTCTTTTAGGTGCTGGAGAATCTGGTAAAAGTACTATCGTGAAACAAATGAAGTAAGTCATGGCATGACCTTTTTTTTGTAAGGTTGGATATCCTCATAAAGTATTAACAAGTCTGAAAAAAAACAAGTCTAGTATATTTTCATTTTACATCTGTAATAATTACTTATGGTTTTCCTATTGTTAAAGAATCATTCATGAGGATGGATATTCAGAGGAAGAATGTAAACAGTATAAAGTGGTTGTCTACAGTAATACTATACAGTCCATCATTGCGATCATAAGAGCCATGGGACGACTAAAGATTGACTTTGGGGAAGCTGCCAGAGCAGTAAGTTGTTTCTCATTTCCTTTTTGTTTGATCTTGTTCAGTAGATGCAATAAAGGGAGAGGCACAATTTGCTTCATGTTTAGGAAAATGAATTTAAGCAACAAGATGTAGCAAAGTGCTGTTCAGTCACTTGAGAGGTGTTAGCAATCTGTCTTCAGAGATACTAGATTACCATCTCAGTGAAGAGTCTAGGCTATGGGATTCTGTTGATCTATGGTGTTTTTGGTTTTTTGTGTTTGGGTTTTTTTTTTAATAATAGCTTAGTTGCTGCTTTCACATTACTGTTGAGCTTTATAGTAATTCATTTTGGTAAATTGAAGTAATCTAAGAGAAAAGTAGTAGATACACTGTACTGAGAGATGTAGTGATTAACAAGTTGCTGCAAATGGTAGTCAATTTTAATTTTAAAAGTGTGTGCGGGCAACATGTTAAAAGAAAAAAAATTACTTGTTAAGAATGTCATCATAAAGCCCAAGTTTTATTTTCTATTTTGCTCTCTTCTCCCTTCTTTTTCATCCTTGTTAATTCTCAAAGATTGATTTCTATGTATAATCATTACCTTAGCTTTAGTAGTCTTATACCATAATTGCCCTTTTGTGATTGACATATACCACTCAGCATAATTCATATTGTTGAAGTTTGTATGTTAGAGGCAATGTTCAGGTGTTCAAGAATGTTATATCCTTATACTGCATATAACCATAGGCTTTAAGATTGGATTATATTTATTATGTTCTAGTTCTGTGCCAATTGGCAGCGTCATGATACGTGGACAAGAGATTGAGGTTTTTAACAATTTCATCTCAGTTCCACAATGAACACTTTTTGAACCAGCAGCCAGGAAATCAAAAGATGAATTGCATTAGAAAAATATGCTGTTAGGAACCTCTCCAGAGTGTGGAAGAGCAAGGATGTCAGTCTACAGACTAAAGTGTGCATGATCGAGGCCATGGTCTTCACAGTTACTTGCTGTGCATCAATGACTAGAACATGAGAAGAATTGATGAAGAATATTGAAGATATGTTGTACTGCCAAGAGAACGAACAGTTCTGTCTTGGAGAGGGTGAAGTCAAGCTTCTTCTTGGAGGCAAGGTTTTTGAAGCTCTGTCTCATATACTTTGGGTATGTAGCCAGGCGGGACGAGGCTTTGGAAAAAGATAGCATGCTTGGAAGGGTGGAGGACAGCAAAAGAGAGGAAGACCCTGGATGAGATGGATTGACACAGTAACTGGGGTAATGAGGGTAGATGTGTCAGAGACAATTAGATTGTCTTTAGAGCATGGTTCAGAGCAGTTGTGCATAGGGTCACTATGAGTCGTAGTTGACTCAATGGCACATAACATCAAGTATAATTCTCTAATAGCTTGCACATAGTCAAATATTAAAAAATTGTGTTTAGAACTGTCATGTTTAAGCATTAGGGACCTGGTAGGTGAGGCTTTGTATTTAAAAGTCAGTTTGGTGGGTCCTGCCTGAGGATGAGTTTCCAGCTTGGAGTAGTTGGATTCTGGAGGGTGTTTTTTATTTACTTGAAAGCTGGATATAAACAGTTTGGATGTTTTTTCTTTTTAACCATCACATGCAAGCTGATTGGCTGTTTCTGATTTCCTTAACAATCAGCAGTGGGCTGAAAGCCTCTTATTTAAGCAATCAGGACCTCCTGGGCTGGCCTTTAAAGTCAGTTGGGCCTGAGGGCTTGTGTTAATTGTATTTGGAGAGAACTTTGTTTTAAGTGGTACAGTACTTGTCTGTCAGTTTGCTGTATTGAGATAACTTGGGATTACTGTGATACTGAAATGTATACCACTGGTGTGTCAAGTGCCATTAGGGTTACCCACAGTGAACAGGTTCTTGTGGAGCTCCCTGATTAAGACAGACTAGGAAGCAGGATGGACCATCTACTTCCTAAATAACAGGCTTTTGAAAACCCTAGAAATTAGAACAGGGTACATAAATTAGAACAGGGTTCAGGTCTTTTGTTCATAGGGTTCCTATGAGTCATACTCTACTCAGCGGCAACTAACAACATCATCAACTCCTAAAGGGAGCTCTGGTGGCTTAGTGGCAAGATGTTGTCCTGCAATCCTGAAGGCACGCTGTTCAAATCCACCATCTGATCTGTAGGAGAGGGATGAGCAGTTTCTTCCCGTGTGATCAACTGTCTGAAAATCCACTGGAGGGTCACCTGTGGGTCAGTTTCAACTCAAAGATACACAACAACAAAGAGTCCTAAAGGTCTGGTTTGTAAATTAAGATGTTTGATGCTAGTGGAGAAGTTAGGAATAGCCTCTTATGTATCAACATCAGAAAAATTTCAGCAGTAGGCTGAATATATATCTTGGAAGTAAGGGACTTACTTATTGTCCGGAGCTCTGGCAGCATTATCTGTAGGGAATTGCAGTGCTAACCCAAAGGCTAAACCTTTCTGGTGATTTGAATCCACCAGTGGTTCCTCGGGAAAGTAATGAGTAATCTCTCATGTGATTTACAGTCTCCGAAAAACTGCTGGAGTGTCAGCGATGAGTCACTTCCAGCTCAGTGGCAGTAAGTGAATGAGTAAGTGGAGTTAACAGGATTTCTAGGATGCTGGAATCAGAATGTCACACCTAGATGCTGTGGAAAAAAGAAATGACAATGAGTTGGACAGTCTTCCTGAAAAATTACTCCCAACCCAAAGACACATGGTTCAAATCCACCAGCTGCTCCAAGGGAGAAAGATGGGCAGTCTTACTTCCTGTGCAATTTACTGGAAGGTTAATTTTGAGTCAGTTGCAACCGGATTGCAACATAATTATAACTTCTGTGAAGCTGTGTAGGAAGTCTTGTAAGCAGTATCTCAGCCTACCAAATGCAAATTAAAACTCATTAAATAAATAGGGAAACTGTTGAGAGGGAGAAAAAAACCACTAAAAGGATGATAGTAGTTTAAGAAATGTCTTAGTGGATTTACAGTTATAAGAAAAGTTCTTACGCAGATCTCATAATGAGAAGGGAAGAGATGTGTGAGGCACGGGTTTTATATTTTTTGGGAAAGGTGTCATATAAATTAGATACTTTCCTAAGCCTTTGAGCAGGGAAAATTTAATAGCTAAAGCAAAATGAGTCTTTATTCTTCCTCCTTTCTGTTCCTTTTGTCATCTCTTGCTTTTCCTTTTTTTCCTCCACCCTTTTCTTAATCATCTGTCACCTAATTCTACTTCTCTGTACTAGAAAATGGATCAGTGATAACTTTATTTCCCCTTCTCATTTATTTCTTAGTTTCTTCTTTTTTCTTCCCATCTGCCCTCTATTTTTCTTGATTTTTTTTTTCTTTCCCCTATCAATTCAGCTGTCATTAGTCTTTGAGTCTTAACGCTCCTGTGTTACTAGAGTCATTCAACATCATCATTAATCTCAGATTAATGGAATAACCCAACTTTCTAGCATGCCTTCATCCGAATCTATAAACTTGTATAATTCTTTAAAGGTGATGTGCATCCCCCCCCACCCTGATTTATATCTTTGTCTTTGATCTGGGCTTTTATGGTTTGTTAGAAAGTGAATGGTTAATAGAGCCAGGTGTAGAATGAGGTACTATTTCATATAAGCTTAGGGATGATAGGAAGTTCATTCTAAAAAGGTTCTTCTTTGTAGAACAATTGTTGTTAAGTGCTGTTGAGCCAACTATGACTCACAGCAGCCCTGTGAACAGTGGATCTGAACCCTGTGCTATCCTGTACCGTCCTCATTATCCATGGTATGCTTGAGCCCACCTTTACGATCACTGTGTCAGTTTATCTCACTGAGGATCTTCCCCTTTGCTTACCTTCCACCTTGCCAAACATGATATCCTTTTCCAAGGACCCTCCTAAACAACATACCCAAAGTATGTGAGACAGAGTTTCACTATCCTTGCCTCCAAGGAGCATCCTGGCTCCATCTTTTCCAAGATATATTTGTCCTTTTGATAGTTGTCAGGTTCAGCACTATTTTCCCACATTACAACTCAAAAACATCAGTAATTCTTCTATTATTCGTTGTCCAAATTTCAGCTGTATAGCAAGTAATTGGAAAAAAATGGTTTGGATCAGGTACACCTCAGTTTTTAAGCTGGTATCATTGCTCTTCAGTACTTTGGAAAAGTCCTTGACAGCAAGCTTTCACAGTGCGATAATATCTTTTGATTTTCTGGTGCTGGTGCCAAGGATGATGATTGTGGATCCAAGCAAGATAATGAATAATTTCTCTTCACCTATAATGATGTAGCCTCTTGGCCTGCTGGTGAGAATTTTTGTTTTCTTGATGTTGAGGTATAACCCATATTAAAGACTGTATTATAATCTTTTATCTCTGCAGCAGGTGTTTCAAGTCTATAGTAAGTTTATTATCGAGGAAGAAGAGTAGATTAGTAAAAGTGGTAAAGGAAAAATATTTACTCCTGAAAGAATCTTTACAGGGTCAGTACAGTGAAAATATATAGCAGCAGCTCCATGACTGGGTGGATTGACACGGTGACTATAGCAGTGGGCTCATGTGTCTTGGGAAGTGTGAGGATGGCACAGGATAGGACAGGGTGCAGATCTATTATTCATAGGAACACTATTATAGGTCGTATGAACTCGATGGCACCTAATAGCAACCATCACCTTCTATTTTGGTGTTTCTAAAACTGTTGTTGTTAAGTGCCGTAGAGTCGCAGGGGACTCATAACGACCCTATGATGGAGAGTCCTCAACGCTTGGGTGCGTTTCATCCTCTCCAGGTTCATAGAGTTTCCTGAGGCAAGCTATTACGGAAGTGGATGCCACTCCTCCTTCCAAGCTTGTTTTAATCGGGGAGCTCCACCCCACTCTCTGTCCACATTGGGTAATCAACTGTTAACACATTTGACACATCAGAGTTCTAAAATTAGAATAAAATTTTTAAAGATTACTTAATGCAGTTATTTGAATTCTTTCATACATATAGTTCAGTGTTTAAAGATTTACTGTTCACTTTTGTGTATACTTGCCATTTTTAGTAATTAAAAAAAATCTTCCCTTGGCCATTTGTTCTTTCAGATTTGTTTTCTCTGGAAAGAGGAGTAGGGAACTGTTTCTTAGGTAAGGTTTCTTTAGATAGTATTAGACGTAAAGTTTTATTAGGAAGAATATAGAGAATACTCTTAAAGGAGGAATACAGAAAAAAAGGGTTTTTTTACAAAACAAAGATAATTGAAGTTGGAGACCTGAGTTCTACAAAATTTGAGTGTGATTGTGTAGTTTTGTTTGTCTTTGCTTAAATTGGATGCACAGGTTCTGGTAGAGACATGCCTTGGGAGGCTTCGGTTATGATTTTATCTGCTGTCTAAAATGCTTTGCTTGCTAGTTGACTTTATCCTGATGATTGTTTTTTTATACAGTTGATTGCTCCCCTCCTCCTTTACTCTTTCTCTACCCAATGTGTGCTTTTAAAAGTTCTTTGGAAAGGTGGAGGGTCAGTAAAGGAGGAAGACTCTCACTTAGTGAGATGGATTGACACAGTGACAGTGACCTCAGGTGTATCAGATATGATGAGGCTGGCACAAGTTCAGATCAGTTGTTCTTAGGATTGTTCTGAATCGTACACCTCTATCAACAACAACTGAGGAGAGAGTTTAATTGAGAACGCAAAGGCCAAGCCTCTCCTGTGGTTAGAATCCACCAGTTAGTAACCCTGAGGGAGAAAGAAGGATGAATTATCTCCTCCTGTGTGATTTATTAACACCAGAAACCAGTGGAGAAGTTGAGTTGAAGGGACTGTTTATATTTTTCCCCTCAGGTCTTCACTGCTCTCCATTATATCCTGCTGTTTGAGCTGACTAGGAGACTTTCCTTAAGTTTCATGAATATTTTATTTCCTTTGATGTATTTAAACTATATGTCCTCTTTCTTACTGAGAACATTTCTGGTGTGATTTAAAATTCCTTTAACCGGTTGGGAATGTATTACATAGACCTGTCTTATAGACTAGTTTGTTATTTTTTTTCTGTTGAAATCATGAGCAACCAGGATGGATTTTTTTTCCCCCTTGAAGGTAAAATACTAATGATAGATTTATTAGAAAGTTATAACCCTGAAAGGAGGACTTGGAGGGAAGGCACCAGGATAGAAATTGCTGACTTGACTTGATCAGTAGAGATCATTTCAAGCACTAGTGGTGTATATGGAGGAGTGGGAGGGAATAAAACCAGTCCTCAGTTCAGTTCTAGTCTTTTAACTATAATTCTGTTTAGGTGGAATGAGAAGGTAGAAAGACTTAATTTCAGTTCTCTTAGACTTCCCTACCAGAAAATACCTTTTTATTGTTGTTGTTATGTGCTGTCCAGTCGTTTGTGACTCATAGGAACCCTATGTACAACAGCCCTAAGCCCTGCTCTATCCTGTGCTAATCCCATTGCCTCTGACACACCCATCCCGACTACCCCAGTCACTGAATCAATCCACCTCATAGAGGGCCTTCCCCTCCTGCGCTGTCCCTCCACTCTACCAAGTATGATGTCCCTCTCCAAGGACCTGTCTCTCCTTACAACATGTCCAAAGTATGTCAGACGAAGCCCCAGAATCCTTGCCTCCAAGGAGTAGCCTGGTTTAA